ACATTTGTATGGGAATTTGTCGCATGTGCCACATACGACAAATGTTTTATTATTTAAAAAAAAAGTACGTTTGTATGGGTATTTGTCGTATATGACGCATTTTCAGCACATACAACAAAAGGCATACCCAATCATTAATATTATGTAACATACGACAAAATGCGCACGAAATATCTCAAAAACTAAGGAATCGTGATTTTGCACATTCGTCATCGGTTTTCTGAGGCGACGATATTGAGAACCATTTTGCCTATGCCTTGAAAGGGTTAAAAAGCGTTTCATATATGACAAACTCTGCATTAAAGCGTTAAATGCTGCACTTTCGTGAATATATCGACCAGTATAACCATTGTTGTTATATACATTTTTTGGTGAACGCTGATAGTTTACGAGTTATTAGAGTTTAAAGGAAGCTTTTCTTTTTCCAATCTGGCCACTCGGGTACAGCACCCAATGTCCCAACAATCGAGTCTTAAGATAAAATAAAGATAAATCTTTTAGAAACAGTGCTAATGGTGTATTAGATATCGATGGCTGAGTGGAAGATCGACCTATCTCTGCAGCTAAACTCCCTGTCTCAGAAAACTTTTCAAGAACGCCCTGTTTCAGAATTTCATTAAAAAACGCCCTATTTCAGAATTTTATTGAAAAATATCCTATCTCAGAGTTTGGCTGAATAATGCCCTATCTCATAATTCGGTTCAAAAACGCCCTATTTCAAACGAAAATACTGTAACGAAGCGTTTTATTCGCCCCGCCGCTTCTTCTACAATGCTGGGGTATACTCGCCGTGTCCAGGGTTCGTTACAATAAATTTGTAGTTTCGGGGCTCTGGTAAATCGCACTTTATTAATTTAATTTTCTTAATTTCTATAAAGAACATATAACAAATAACAAAATTTGCTGGCGTCACTTGCAGTGGTTGGGTAACGGCTTCCTGTCCCGTTATGGGCCCGTTAGGCGGTAGTGGCGTGGCTTCAATTCTGNTGGTGTGTGTGTACCACTCACAAGCAATCGCTCCATTCAGCGGTAGTTCTCACTATCAAATATGGTTTTTCTACCTTTGAGGGGTGATGTCTTGTGGTGTGTGTACCACTCACAAGCTATCGCTCCCTTCAATTGTAGTCATTCACTCGCGACCACAGCTCCGTGCTGACTGCCTATTTTCTGGCTGTGCTCTGTATTTTATGGGCTGTGTGCTTGATGTTGCGTGGTCGTGCAGCCACATGTTGCTGTGTGATGTTTCGTTGCCATGGTCACAAAGATGCTGTCGTGTGTTGCTACGAGTTGTGTTGTTATGAGTTGTGTTGCTTGACTGGCTGTTCTGCGGTGTCGTATTGCTTGTGCGTGTGTTGCTTGACTGGCTGTTGTGCGGTGTCGTATTGCTTGTGTGGGCTAAATTTCTTGTTGAACATTTAGTCCTCACACTCCCCCCCCCACTTCGGAGGTTCAATGCTCCTTCACCCTTGGCCGTATGCGCGCTTTCCCTCTATACACGGTGACCGGTAGTTCTCTGTGCGGAACCTCTGGCGTGCCCTGCACGTTCCCTGGTCGATTCTCCCGAAGACGCTGCGGATTCTCTCGGCAATTTCCGGATATTGGTCTAACACCGGTCCGTCGACATCACTAGCCATGACCTCGATCCCTTCTGGAGGCATCTCTGGTTGCTGCTGTTTTGGCTCCGATTGTGGATGTGGTGATGTGCGGCGGTTGTGTGCGTGACGGTCGAGTGTGTAGCGGCCGTCGGCGCCGTGAGGGCGCGCGTAGTGCTGACGCCGGTATGTACGGCGGATCCTGGCGTGGTGACGTAGGAGGGCGTGCTACTGACGCTGCTGGGTGCAGCGACTGCAGTAGGGGCAGCGGATATCCGCTGTCTAGTTTGCACATTAGTCATGTGCGCTGCGGCGTCGTGGATGGTGGCGACGCGTGTCGTCCCGACTGCGGCGTGGGCGTTGACTGCCCTTATGGCTGCGGCGCGGCGCGCGGTGGTGCTGTCCGTAAGCTGCGTGTGTCGCGCGGCGGCGTCGGCTGCGTCGGCGCGTGCCGTCGCGGCGTTTCGTATGCCGGTAGTGGGCTGTGACCCCAGTACCTGGGTGCGAGGACGTTTCGCTTCCTCCTCCTCTATGCGTTCGCGTATGCGTTTGACGCTGTTCGCCCACTTGTTGTTGACTTCCATTTTGATGTTGTTATTTATTTTTTTTTTATTTTTTTTTCCTCTGGTAGCTTCCGAAATTCTGATGTTCGCTCTCCGGTGGTTCGCGGTTGAATGGCTGGTTGGAGTGGCTTACGAAATTAAAGTTGGTTAATTAATTCAATTATTTGTGTGGTCGTCCCTTTTTTTTTTGTGTCTCCTTGTGTCTATATGGCCTCGCTGGTATGATACGTCTTTAATTCCGTGATATTGGCCGTCTTTTCCCTTCCTCCATCGGTCTTGCGTAACTGGACGATCACCGGTGATATGTACCTCAGGATTTTGTAGGGGCCGTCATATTTGGGGGCCAATTTCGCTGCGAATCCGTCCGCGGCCTTGGATAGATGGTGTTCCTTGGCGAGAACTAGTTCGCCAACCCTAGGAGTCCATTTTCGCCGTCTGAGGTTGTAGTGGCGGGCCTGATCCGTCGCCGCTCTCTCCATATTTTGCCGGACAATCCTGAATGCCTCCTGCATCCTACTGGACTTCTCCTCGGCAGTAGGGGGAACAGTGCCTGTCCCGATGTTGACCTCGTCAAAGAGTGCTCCAGGTAGTCGTGGCTCACGCCCTTGGACGAGAAAAGCTGGGCTGTACCCCGTAGAGGCGGTGACGCTGGTATTGATGGCTAGCTCGATTTCGGGGAGGAGGTCATCCCATCGCTGGTGTTGCGATCTGGTGAGCTGAGCTATTATTCGCTTGACCGTTCGGTTAGCGCGTTCCGTTGGGTTCTCCTGGGGGGTGTATGGCGCGGTAAACTGTTGTCGTATTCCCATCTCTTGGAGGTAGCGTTGCCACAGCGTGCTGGTGAACTGGACGCCGTTGTCCGAGATGAGTATCTTCGGAACGCCAAATCTAGCTAGGATTCGTTCTCTGAATGCACGGCGCAGTCCTTCTGCCGTGGCGCGTCTCATTGGGACTAGCTCCACCCATTTGCTGAAGCGGTCGAAGAATACCAATAGCATGGTGTTGCCATGTGTGGATCGCGGTAGGGGTCCGACGAAGTCTGTGCAGACCGTCGCGAAGGGCTCCGCAGCCACCTGTGAAAGCATTTTTCCCGCGGGTTTCTGTTGTCCTTCCTTGTATTTTTGGCAGGAATCACACTGGCGCACGTAGCGGCTGATGTCACGGAACATACCTGGCCAATAGTATCGGTTGGCGATCCGTGCCACTGTCCGTCGGATGCCCATGTGGCCGGCGCTGGGTACATCGTGGTTCTCCTGTAGTACTCGCTGGCGAAGGGGGGTTGGTACACATAACTTCCAGGGCACTGTTTCCTCATCCTGGCTTCGGCATGGGATATGGCGGTAGAGTTGTCCGTCCTGCACCATATAGTCAGCGTATTTCTCCGGGTTTGCGCGCACTTCGCCCACGCGCTTATGCCACCACTTGCATTGTGGTTCCGTCGTTATCGCTTGCCGAAGGGTCTCCAGTGGTTGCCGTGATAGTGCGTCCGCGACTAGGTTGAGCTTCCCTTTTCGATATTCTATATCGAATGTATGCTGTTGTAGTTCTAGGGCCCACCTCGCTATACGGCCGGAAGGGCTCTCGATAGAGTTCAGCCACTTCAACGACATGTGGTCGGTGATCACCTTGAACCTGTATCCCTCTAGGTAGGGCCTCATCTTCCGGATTCCCCAAACAATGGCAAGACACTCCTTCTCTGTGGGCGAGTAGTTGACCTCCGCTTTGCTCAATTTCCTGCTGGCATAAGATATTACGCGTTCGCCTCCTTCTAATTCTTGTGTCAATACCGCTCCCAAGCCAAAGTTACTAGCGTCCGTCTGTAGGGTGAATTTCTCGTTAAAATCCGGACAGGCGAGTACGGGGGCCTCGGTGAGTTTCCGCTTGAGGGTGTCGAAGGCCTCTTGTTGCTCGACTCCCCACTTCCAATGCTTACCCTTTTTCAGGAGTGCAGTTAGTGGTTGGCTTAACGTGGCGAAATCGGGCACGAAGCGACGGTACCACGATGCTATCCCGAGGTATTGGCGTACTTCCTTCACGTTAGACGGTGGTTTTAATTCTCGGATCGCGGCCACCTTCTCGGGATCGGTGTGGATTCCCTTTTCACTTACCACATGACCCAAGTATCGGAGTTCCTTCTTGAAGAAGTCGCACTTCTCGGGGTTGATGCGGAGATTTGCGCGTTGTAGTCGTGATAGTACTTCCCGTAGGTTTTGTGCATGCTCCTCGAGGGTGGAGCCTATGACGATGATGTCGTCTAGGTAGGCGAAAGCGTGGGGTTCCATTTCTGGGCCGATGACCTGGTCGAGTGCTCTTTGAAATGTTGCTGGTGCGGAGTGTAGGCCGAACGGCATGACACGCCATTGAAATAGTCCGCGCCCCGGCACGGTGAAGGCTGTGTACGGGCGACTGTTCGGTTCCAGGGGTATCTGCCAGTAGCCGTTTTTGAGGTCTAGGCTGCTGATGTACTTAGCCCGCCGTAACTTGTCCAGTATCTGTTGTATTCTGGGTAAGGGGTATGCGTCGGGTACTGATCGGGCATTTAGTTGCCGATAATCCACGCACAACCTCCACTTACCATTTTTCTTCCGAGCCAACACGATGGGCGCGCTATGCGGGCTACAGGAGGGTTCGATGCACCCTTTGGAGATGAGCTCGTCGATCTCTGCGTTGATGATGGCCTGCATCGATGGGTTGCGCGGAAAGTACCGCTGCTTAATTGGGCGGTCATCGGTCATGATGATCCTGTGCTCCGCCACGTTGGCCACTCCGCTCATGGTTTCAAAC